CAGATTACAAAATTGAGGTAATAGGCATGGTTAACACACATAACCAAGCCTGTTCAACTGCCAGTTTTAACAACAAACAGAAATGGTGTGCAGGAGGAGTCTGTTAGGTTGTAATAACTCTTTTAAAACCCCTACCTCGATCTTTCTGAATGAAATGCCTACTTTACTACATCCATTCAGCCCGCAAAAAAAATAAAAAAAAACAAACCATGCCCACAGTTTGATCGTTTAAAATTTCGTTTCTCTAGGAACTGCGTCACAATACAAGAAATAAAAATAAAATAGCGATCTCAGCTTCCGGTTCATTGGGATTTTAATGTCACAACATGTATATACAATATTGATAATAAAAACCTTTATTAAACCAGACAAGTCAATGGAGAATCAGTTCTCATTTTTTTGGCACTCGTATGGAAAACCTGCCTTCATGTTTACATAAGTAGCAGGAGGAGAAAATCTTTTTTAAAATACTTTATATTTTTACTTTTCTGAAGTATGATATAATACGTCAATATTTCATAGATTGTGTAGAAAAAAGGTTTGCATTTACTAATTAAAGTTAAAAATCGATTATAGAATTATTTTAAATCAGGATTTAGTTTAAAATATGTATGTCTATTATAATATAAAGTGGGTTTAGACGAGGGGTGCCCAAACCTTTTTGTATAAAGGGCCAGAAACCAAATATCGAGAGTTGTGGGCCAAAGGTAACTATACCAAACTATATTACATTAAAGTTGCCTGGGGGAATTTTCTAATTTACTTCACAATATTTCAAAAACAAGAAGAAAAAAGAAAATACTTCTTTAAATCGTATTGACTAATGCAGTATAACTTTTTAAAATTATTGCAATAAAAACAAACATACACTAGTCAGGCAAAATCTACCTTTGACTTAATTTGCTCACCAAAGTCTCTGCATTGTCGAGTGACAGTATGTACTTTTAAACAAAATCTGACTAATTTACACCATTTAATTGAGACATTTAATTTCAGTTAGCTTTTAACAATAAAACAAACAAACAAACAAACAAACAAACATTTAATTCCCCCTCTCTTCTCAGATGGCGGGCCAAATCAAAGGTTACAATGGGCCAACTTTGGCCTGAAGGCCTTAGTTTGGGCTTTTCTGATTTTGACAATAAATGTACAGTTAACCCTAAAATGAAAATGTACTGAGTATTTACTTATCCTCAAGTGGTTCCAATAATTTATGAATTACTTTTTTTCTGTTGAACACTGTGAGGTTTACGAGCCAGGAAGGCTCGTAGTGGGTTCTCAAAGGATATAAAAAAATGAGAAAACCTCAAAATGATGGCACAACTCGCTGATATAACGTGTAAAGTGATGGTTTATTTACAGTGTACGAGAGTGAAACCCAAAACCCAGCAAAGTAGCAAACAAACAAAAATAAAAGAAAAATAAACAACAAACAAAACGATATATGTACAATCACAATAAAAATGTACAAGTTATAGATCGCTTACGGCACCACAGTAGCTCGCTCGCTCGCCAGGTGAACTGACCCCGAATTGTTGTTTGGGGCTGCCTTTTAAAGGTGAAGCCCCACCCCCTTAACACAGACCAACATACCCTAATTAAAAGGTAAGTATAAACATCAGTACATGTTCTCCGGTTTATTATTTAAAAACCATTAAACCCCAAACATCCACAATTAATCAATGTTAACTAAAATAGATCAAGATATAAAGATATAAACATATAAACATGAACATTTAAACACATAAAGAAAAGTATAAACCCATTCCCCCCCTTTCTCTAGAGGACAATGGACTAGTCTGCTTCCGGTTGCTCTGGAGCAAACCACAGTGAACCCGGCACTATTTAGCCAGGCCGCTGGGAGGCGCTCTGTTTGACCGGCCGATGGAAGAGCAACCAGGAAGACAGATGAAGGAGAAACACGGAAACCAAACAACCGGTAAAAATTAAACAAACAATAACTGAAAACACTTAGATACGGACAAACCAAAAACATTAAACACTCAGACAACATGTGTATATGCGTGTATTTGTGACTATAGCGTGCGTTATGGATGGCGATGAAGAAATGCGTTTGTGGATGCGTTTGTGTGTGTGTGAAAACCAATGAGCTAATGGCGGACGTGTGCACCCGAATCGCCTCAAGCTTTTCTGGATAATTTTGGTAAGTGAATTATGTTTGAATGTTGAGCACTGTTTGTCAGCCAGGGACAAGTCACCTCATCACACCACCTTTCCCCTCTCCTCGAAAGGTAGTCGGCTGTCCTGTTCTGGGATCCTGGTCGATGGACAACCTTGAACTGGTATGGCTGTAGAGACAGATACCACCTGGTTACTCTGGCATTATGGTCTTTCATGCTGTGAATCCAGGTTAGTGCTCTGTGGTCTGTCTCTAATGTAAATTCTCGGCCCAACAAGTAGTACCGGAGACTTTCCAATGCCCACTTTATTGCCAGTCCTTCTTTCTCCACGGTGGAATACCGGGTTTCTTGTGGAAGTAGCTTCCTGCTAATATATGCCACCGGTCTTTCTTGTCCTGCATCTTCCTGCATGAGGACTGCCCCGACACCTACTGCAGAAGCATCCACTTGGACGGTAAATGGCTGGGTAAAGTCTGGACTCTTGAGTACAGGTTCTGAACATAATTGTCTCTTTAAAGTTGTGAATGCCTTTTCACAATCTTGTGTCCACTGAATTGGATTTTTAGCTTGTTTGCACAGCAAGTTGGTTAAGGGGGCTGCAGTGGTTGAAAAGTCAGGGAGGAACCTCCGATACCAACCCACCAAACCAAGAAATGACCGAACTTCCTTCCGTGTTGTTGGCCTTGGACTGTGTTGTACTGCTTCCACCTTATCCACTTGAGGACGCAACTGTCCGTTTCCTAGGCGATATCCCAGGTAATTGGTTTGTGCCTTCACCCACTCACACTTGCTGACATTGAGGGTCAAACCTGCTGCTTGAATTTTGTCTAGGGTCTGTTTTAGGTGTTGCAGATGATCTTCCCAGGACGAGCTGTAGATGACTACATCATCGAGGTAGGCTGCAGACCACTCTTCACATCCCCTTAGTACTTGATCCATTAGCCGCTGGAAAGTGGCTGGTGCCACATGAAGCCCAAAAGGTAGAACCTTAAAGTGGTATAATCCCATGGGTGTACAGAATGCTGTATACTGTCTGGACTTTTCTTCCAAGGGCACTTGCCAGTAGCCTTTACACAAGTCCAGAGTGGTAAGATATTTTGCTTGGCCAATCCTCTCAAGCAAATCATCTAAACGTGGCATTGGATACGCATCAAACCTTGACTGTGCATTCAGTTTCCGGAAGTCGATGCATATCCGCAGGGTACCATCCTTTTTTGGAACGATGACGACTGGGCTACTCCATTCACTTGTTGAGGGCTCAATCACTCCCAGCTCGATCATCGTCTCAATTTCTGTCTTGAGTGGTTTTACCAGACTTTCAGGAACCCTGTATGGTCGCTGTCTTGAGGGGATTTGATTAACAAGTTGGATTCGGTGCTCCACAAGGTTCGTTCGTCTAGGCCTTTGACGAAATAACCCAGAATACTGGTTCATCAGGTGATGTAGCTCAGCTTGCTTGGTTTCCTCCAGATGATTTAGCCCCACTCCTGTGGTTTGTGCCGGCTCTGCACCTCTCTGCTCCAGTAGATCCTCCTCCTCTACCTCCTCCACTTTCCTGATCAGCAACGATGTCTCCTTGTTAGGTGGCTCCTTCCACTCCTTCAATAGATTAATGTGATACGTTTGCTTTTCTTTGCCTTTATCAGGGTGATGAACTTCATATGTTACTGGTCCCAGTCTTCGAAGTACTGTATAGGGCCCTTGCCACTTCACCAGTAGTTGATTCGTCGAGGTGGGAAGCAGTAACAAAACCTTCTGTCCTGGCAGCAGCTCACGAGTTCGGGCATTCTGGTCGTACCACAGTTTCTGTGTCTTCTGGGCCTTCTTGAGGTTCTCTTGGGCCTTCTCTCTGTAGGTCTCCAGACGGTCTCTCATCTCAAGGACGTATTGCACAATACCTTTTGCCTTCTCCGTCACCTCATCAGACGAAGTGGTCTCCCAGTTCTTTCGAAGGAGATCCAGTGGTCCTTGAACCCGCCATCCATACAGGAGCTCAAATGGAGAAAATCCCGTCGAAGCTTGAGGCACCTCCCTGTAGGCAAACATCAGAAACGGTAGCCATTTATCCCAGTCCTTTCCAGTCTCTGACACAAACTTGCGAAGCATGTTCTTCAGTGTTTGATTGAACCGCTCTACTAATCCGTCTGTCTGTGGGTGGTATGGGGTAGTTTTGATTGCAGTGATGCCCAGTTGACGATGCATCATCTTCATCAGTCGGGAAGTAAAGTTGGTTCCTTGGTCTGTAAGTATTTCATTGGGTATTCCTACTCTAGAGAACAGCTGTATTAGGGCATTGATTACCTTGGCGGTGGTGATGGATCGCAGAGGGAAAGCCTCAGGGTACCTGGTGGCATAGTCACTGATGACCAGAATGTACTGATGTCCAGATGTACTCCTCTCCAGTGGGCCCACGATATCCATCGCGATGCGCTGAAACGGCACAGAGATTACAGGCAAAGGAAGTAATGGGGCCTTACCCTGGTGACGCACAGTGCTTGTCTTTTGACAGGTGGGGCATGTGGTGCAATAACTCTGTACATCAGTATACATGGAAGGCCATATGAAACGTGAACTAATGCGTGCATATGTCTTTTGGAATGCAAGGTGCCCTGCCCACGGTATGTTATGTGCTACAGACAGAACCACATGACGACAACATGTAGGGACAACCAAACGTGTGGATTCAGAGGTTTGCATGTACAAAACATCATTAATTATAACATACTTCTCCCCACATAAGTCCATTTTGTCCTCATTGGCCTTAGCAAATAACCCAGTCAATGTTTTATCAGCCCTCTGCAGGCTAGCAATGTCCTTTGGGATTTCCCAACTATGAGTTTCCAGAACCTCAGTTTGTGTTTATGGGGCTGGAGTACCAAGCCCTTTTTCCAGCCGCTTTTGACGGTGTGTTTTTTTGGGGCCTTTGGTCCCGCCTTGCAACAGACTATCATGGAAGTCAGGCAATGGCTGCAGACCTGTTTTTGTTTGGGCCCGTGTTACCACCGGACATGACAGTGCGACATTTATAGGCAATTTTGTATCACAGTTCATGTTTAACAGTTCACTTAACACTGGTAAATCTCTTCCCAAAATCATATCAGCAGGTAGGTCATCGACAACTGCAACATTTAGTAAATACAATTGGTCTTGTACCCCCACATTCACTTCAATTTGTGGATACGATTTTACATCCCCGTGAACGCATTGTACATTCACCATAGTTGAATAAGGCACATGTGTGACATGACTCCGCTTTATCAATGACATTGAGCTACCAGTGTCCAACATGGCATTTACATTATGTCCATTCACAGAAGCTTTCACATACTGCACTTTGTGAGCTGTAATATTGTCACTGTCCCCTTCCCTTGGAACATAACAAAATCCAGTCAATTTAGCTTTACGCACAGGACACACAAGAGCTTTGTGCCCTGGCTGCTGGCAGTGAAAGCACACCAACCCCTTCCCAGTGTCAGTGTTCTGTGCTGGAACATGTTCATAGTTCTGTTTAGGTTCAGTGCGATTACCAACAAAGTTTTTAACAGTACCTTTAAGTGGTTGAGAACGCTGAATGCCTCGGTGAGCATTAATATATTGCTGTGCCAGTTTTGCAGCCTCAAGTCCTGTTGTTGGCTCGTGTTCCTTTACCCACATCCGCACCTCATGTGGTAGGACCCGGAGTAACTGCTCCAAGACAATCGTCTCACCAATTTCCTCTTTGGAATGACTGTCAGGTTTCACCCAACGCCGGTAAAGGGTTCGCAGCCGATGATAACTTTCAGTAGGCGACTCTCCTGCTGGAGTAGACATAGCCCGGAACCGCTGACGGTAGGTTTCAGGTGAGATGTTGAACTTTGCTAACAACGCCTCCCTCAGGTCCTCATATACCTCAGCTTGGTCCTCGTCCATGGCTAAGTACACCTCAAGTGCCTGCCCAGTCAACAGTGGCACCAATTGGAAACTCCACTCCTCCTTTGGCCACCTCCAGGTTTTGGCTAGTCGTTCGAACAAACGCAGGAAGTTCTCTATGTCCTCCCCTTGCTGGAAGACTGGTAACTTCGGCTCTGTTCGCATTATTGGCTGGCTGCCATATCTCAGGTCAGTAGGCGAGTCTCGATCTCTCTGGAAAGATGGGGGTCGTTGTGCTGTTGGCGTTGGCAACCTCAATCGTGGACTCTCTGACTCACTCGACCCCTCAGCTGGCCGGACCGCTTGCAGAATTGACTCTTTAAAACTCTGTAGCTCTGTTAGGTAACGCTGCTCCCGCTCTGCTTGTGAGTCAAGAAAGTCCCTCATTAATGCATACATCCCACCTCCAGTAGATGAAGTCTTTGCTTCAGGAGAAGAAACAGGTTTTGTGACTTGCGGTGATGTGGACTTGGGTCGAACGGGAGGAAGTTCCTCCTCCAACTCCGTCTCCGTAGACTCAGCTGACGCCCATGCCCCATCCTCCTTGCTAAGGGCTCCAGTCTGTGAACGAAACCCCGCTTTAGGCTTCCTGCCTCTCGTAGACGTCTTGCGAGTTGCCATCCCACCTCTGACACCAAATGTGAGGTTTACGAGCCAGGAAGGCTCGTAGTGGGTTCTCAAAGGATATAAAAAAATGAGAAAACCTCAAAATGATGGCACAACTCGCTGATATAACGTGTAAAGTGATGGTTTATTTACAGTGTACGAGAGTGAAACCCAAAACCCAGCAAAGTAGCAAACAAACAAAAATAAAAGAAAAATAAACAACAAACAAAACGATATATGTACAATCACAATAAAAATGTACAAGTTATAGATCGCTTACGGCACCACAGTAGCTCGCTCGCTCGCCAGGTGAACTGACCCCGAATTGTTGTTTGGGGCTGCCTTTTAAAGGTGAAGCCCCACCCCCTTAACACAGACCAACATACCCTAATTAAAAGGTAAGTATAAACATCAGTACATGTTCTCCGGTTTATTATTTAAAAACCATTAAACCCCAAACATCCACAATTAATCAATGTTAACTAAAATAGATCAAGATATAAACATATAAACATATAAACATGAACATTTAAACACATAAAGAAAAGTATAAACCCATTCCCCCCCTTTCTCTAGAGGACAATGGACTAGTCTGCTTCCGGTTGCTCTGGAGCAATCCACAGTGAACCCGGCACTATTTAGCCAGGCCGCTGGGAGGCGCTCTGTTTGACCGGCCGATGGAAGAGCAACCAGGAAGACAGATGAAGGAGAAACACGGAAACCAAACAACCGGTAAAAATTAAACAAACAATAACTGAAAACACTTAGATACGGACAAACCAAAAACATTAAACACTCAGACAACATGTGTATATGCGTGTATTTGTGACTATAGCGTGCGTTATGGATGGCGATGAAGAAATGCGTTTGTGGATGCGTTTGTGTGTGTGTGAAAACCAATGAGCTGATGGCGGACGTGTGCACCCGAATCGCCTCAAGCTTTTCTGGATAATTTTGGTAAGTGAATTATGTTTGAATGTTGAGCACTGTTTGTCAGCCAGGGACAAGTCACCTCATCACAAACACAAAAGAAGATATTTTGCAACACCATTTTCAAATAACAAGTGTGAAACATTTAAACCCAGATTTAAAATCTGTGTTTAAAATGATGATAACTCATTAAGTGTAGTGTGAAAAGGCCAAATGCGTACCGTCTACATTTTCCAACAGCTTATAAAAATAATTTACACAACTAAAAATCAAAACAACTGAATGCAGTGATAAAAAGTCACACAGGTAGAAATAAATGATGCCGTCTCGCATCAGAAAACCCAATTATCTGCTGACTTGGAAAACACCAGATGACGGCATGCGCAAGTAATGAAATGCGTATTTGAAAGATTAATATCTCTGACTTTGAGGGCCCTAAATGAATTATTAATAGCATATGTATTTATTTTAGACCCCCTTCCCTTCAGCGGGTGATTAGTCGCTCTTCACTACTTCGATGGCACCACACTGTCACGACGGGACGGGTGAAGAAAGGAGGAGGGAGGCGTTTCTCTCTGACATGTGAGCTAATTGACTTCCAGTGGCATCCACCCATATTGTGCCAGCTGGGACTGTTCAGTCTGATCTGCTTTCATTTGGCCTGAGGGAAAGAAACCCCCCTCCTTCTCCTCCTCCTACTTCTTCCTCAGACGTGGGACGTTTGAATGGACCGACCGAAGGATGGACGTGGTCTCCATCATGCATGGTATTAGTCTGTCGGTCAGATGCTGTGAGTGGCATCAATTATTGAGAGCTCAATGAGTGATGGAAGCTGCAGCTTTTAAGCACAGAGTGTCGTCTGACGTTCAGACCAGGTCCGCTTGACAAATGAATGGTAATAAGATTACTCACCGCTGCTTTCTGTTTTTCCTTCTTGATTAATGATCAGTGGGTGACAAACGCCGCATGTCTCTGATTAATGCTGAAAGGTGGAAAGATGCATTATTACAACACTGGAATCTCTGTCAGGTTACTAATATTTTTTTTATTTTACTTAGTGTATTTACACTAAAATGGAAAAAAACTATGATTCGATGGTGAGGTTTTTTGTGTTGATGTTTTTTTCTCTAAAAATTGTATGTTTAAATCCACTACCATATCACATTTTGAACTTTAGTTGATGTGTAATATAGCTGTATAAACATAAACAACATCTCTGAATATAATATGCCCAAAGTTTAATGCGAAGGGAGACATTGCTTTTACAGAGTTAGCTTAGCAAAGCCTACAGTTCAGGTTATGAGCATACACCCTGTGCAACAAAAGGGTGTGGCCAGAGGCGCTGTAATGTTATAAAGTTAATAAAGAAAGTTAAAATGCCGTCCAAATGCTGCTGTTTTTGGCCTTTCAAAGGACATGACACAAAGAGAGAAGTGCTTACAATCAATCTTTGTCAGGTGACGTCACACTCGTAAACACCGAATTGCATTATGGGACATAGCCGCCATTTGTGTTGTATCCGAGTTAACGTGAGCTGTTATATGGCTTTAGCGTCTTTGCAGAGTAAATACAGCGTTACGTTAGTGTTGTATTAAGGGCTGTAATAGTAAAATCACACGATCTAAAGGGTAAAAAATTATCACGATGAGAGATATTTTAAATATCCCGCTCGGAAGAAAGGATATTGACCGACTGTAGCGGTAACAACAGACGCATCGAATGTCCCAGCCTGCTGCATTGAGACACAGAATATATCTTCATTTCTCAGTTTATGCTCTCAACATTTTCACAAAGGTAAGTACGTAAGAATTTTTAAGTAACTTTACAACTGTCATTGCTTGGCCTTCAAATAATTATATTAATTCAATGCAACACTTCAGTTTTGGGGGTAGAACTAACGTTACATTTAAATCTTTATGAATCAACTTAGTGCTTATGGATTTAAGATTGTAAAGTAATTGTTTGTAAAATATTGTCAAATACATTTTTATCCTTAGTTACAACTTAGATTTGCTGATTTACTCAACTCCTGTCAAAAAGTACATTTTCGACTGTCCTTTCACTAAAAACAAATATAGTTTTTTGTTGAAATCATTCGATTAAATGTTTTAAACCACCAGAATGTAGCTTCATGAAACTGCAGCTAAAAAAAACAGTTCTTTTCCACTGTAGAAAAAAAATATAAATATATTGGATGATGATAACGAGATCAGTAAATGTTCTTTCTGGGAGTTAATGCTTAAAAGTTCAAAATCCAATTCAGGTTTCTTATGCTCAAATATGTCATATTTCCATAAGCATGTAGCATTATAGTACATTTATTTTCTACTTATTCTTTTTACGTGTAATATTTTTGCTGTATATACATATCTAACTTTGTCATTGCCAGCCAAGCTGCATATGAGATGGAGACTGACCCAGACTGAGCACCACCTCTACATCTGGGCCACACAGAAACTACACAGACAGACACTGCACACTCTGCAAGAAAGACTAAGAGATGAGAAAAAAAACCAACACTGCAGTCAGCTGAAGATGTGGACAAACAACATGCTGGGAAGGAGACATTTGAGGTTGAAATTAGTGAGAGACACTGATAAGGAGACACAACACTAAGGAAGTAGCTGAGACAAACTGAAAGTAAATTGTGTATGACAAGTGTAGAAGGAAACCCCCTGTTGGAGGAGAACTGACAGCTGCTGTGTGAACTTGAAGAATATAGGATGTCTGATGGATTTTGTAGCAAGAATGATGCTAAAGTATCAAACAGAAAAAAACCCAGAAAATCTTAATAACAAGCACTGAGCCATAAACATGATACTCCCTTATGAGGTGAAGATGTCGCATTACAGCATAGGATTGTAACTGTCAAACAAACCAGCGTTCAACTGTAGTGTAGAAGAGCTGTAGTTGCCAATACGAGTTAAAAGCCCAGGTGTATTTAATGCATTCTGAGCTTAATTGATACATTATTTTAAAAAAATCCTTTACATTTTTGTAACTTTGTTTCTTTCACTGTGTGTATGAGTGTGTTTTGCTGATGTTTCATCCTGTCTTATGTAAACAATATGATGCATTTCTCCAGGAATGACTTCTCCCTCAGTGCCTGAATAGAAATATCATTTGTATAAATGTAAATAAATGGAGGATGACTTAAATGTGTTAGATCATTTATTTTTTATGTTCTTCACAATAACAAAACTGGTACATCCAAACCAAACACAGGGTAAGCAGATATTACTAGAACTAAATAATTAGAGAATAATTAATAATAATAATAATAAGACAATAATTAAAGAACTGAGACAAGTGCTTTTGCTCAAAGTTAAACATTAAGTCAATCAGTAGTTAGAACTAAATAATTCACCCACAAATATAAAGTGACTACCTGCCATCAAGTGGTTCTAAACCTTTGAGTCTATTTTTTTATCTTTACACTAATAAAGATATCATGAAAAAAAGCTGAAAATCTGTAGTAGGAAATGTAGGAAAACCAAAAAATACAATGGAAGTCAATAGTTACAGGTTTTCAGCTTTTATCATATATGTGAATGTGTTCAACATATCTTAATATTTGTGTGTATTATTTTATTTAATGTTTTTTTTTGTTATTCTCTATGCACTCAATGTATTTTATTAAATAAATTGATAGTAGTATTTACATTTTTTGTTCTGTTGCTTATTGTTCGTATTTGTAAAATACTCAGGATACAAACATGTCTAGTTTTTAAATGTAAATATTAGATGTAACTAATGAAATACTTTATTATAATAAAACTTAGAAATACTTACTGTGGTTTAATGGTGTTTAAACTAAACGTATATTAAGACATTAATGATATACAGTATGACATGTCATTATCAGCAATGAGGGGACGGCGGCAGCGCACTCCGTTGGTTTGCAGTTATTTCAAGCGGATTTATATCCTGAATGCAAGTCAGTTTATCAAAATGACGATCCCTGGCATGTTTGTTTAGTTTATCGCGGTACCGCGATACTCTTCTTGTAATTTTCCAGCTTGACCTTTTTATGGCATGTATCTCTCTTCCGTTATGTCTCTCTCTCTAGCTGTCTCGCGAAGCGA